TTTTTTTTAAGAATTCTCTTCTGCTCACCAAGGCTGCATTTATTTGAAATATGGTAAAGAAATATTGTGAAATATTATAACAATTAAACGGATTTCTATTTTAATATTCTTTTCTATATTTAAAATGTATTATTTTAATATATTTTAAAATGGAATTTGTTTCTGTGATGAAAAGCTGAATTTCCAGCATCATTACTCCAGTCTTCAGTGTCACATGATCCTTCAGAAATCATTCTAATATGCTGATTTGCTGCTCAAGAAACATTTGTTATTATTTAGCAATGTTGAAAACAGTTGTGCTGCTTCATATTTTTGTGGAAACCATGGTACATCTTTTTTTCCAGGATACTTAGATGAATATAAAGTCCCAAAGAGCAGCATTTATTTGAAATATGGTCTTTTGTAGCATTATCAATTGCTTTTAGCAGTTAAATGCATCTTTGTGGATTAAAAGTATTAATTTCTTTAAAAAAAAATTGTATTGACTCCAAAACTTTTGAATGGTAGTCTAAGAAAGTATATTATGCAGGAACTATTTACTGTACTTTTACATAGGTTGTCTTCTTTAGATTGACTGCTCATATGTTGTTTGTTGTCTGTAGGATATCATACTGCACGGCTGATAAGATGCATGACAAAGTGTTTGCCTACATCTCTCAGAGTCAGCGCAATGAAACGCTGGAGTGTCACGCGTACCTCTGCACCAAGAGGAAAGTGGTGAGTGTGTGTTCATATGAGACACTCCCTGTCTTTCCTTCAGTCTATAAATAGTGTTATACGTTAAGACCACACTTCCTCTGAGAGAGAGAAACCAGTGCACTGTCTTTTTATCCATGACAAGAAATGTGGCGTTGACACGTCTCTTCCCTTTTCCCCATCTGTCTCAGGCTCAGGCGGTGACGTTAACGGTGGCTCAGGCTTTCCGTGTGGCATTTGAGTTTTGGCAGGCTGCTAAAGAAGGTATCTCTTGTTTATCTTTCTTTCCGATTCTTGCTGTCTTTGTTATGCTGAGAAGCACAAATTCACGTGTGTCCTACTTAAAGCTGGAGTGTGTAATTTCCACACCACTAGCAACACCAAACACAAGTCCAAAAATAATGACTCGTTTCAAACAGGTTTCTCAAATGCTTCCTCCGTCTGCTATTGGTCCTTTATACTAGTAGCCCCGCCCCAAACTTACTCTATTGAATTTTTTGAATTAGTTTTGTAATATGTCTATGTACTTTTTGTTAATGTAATTTTAGTTTTAGTTTTTGTACATAAAAATGAGAGTTAACTAAATGCAACTAAATAAAAATAATAATCATTGCAACTAACTGAAATAAAATAAGTTTTGTTTTTTATGGTTTATTTTGTTTCAGTTAAAGCTTATATCAAGTAAAAAAAAAAAAAATAGTTAACTATAATAACCCTGGACCATTTGCATTCATATATATTTAACCCACAATATACATAGAAAAAAGTCAATTATGTCATAAAAAATAAAAAAAAAGAAGCATTTTAAAATGATTTAGTATTGTTTCTGTATTGCTATATTTATGCATATACATTTATTGTATATACATAATAAATATAATGTATTAATATTAAATATTTAAGTGGAAAAATGTGGAAAACGCACCTTTTTTGAACTAGATTTTTACTATGTTTACTTCTTGCATTATCAATTTTGAATTTAACTGGCAACAACAACAAAAAAAACACTCTTTTAAAACTTTTTAATTTTAGACCAAGTATTTTTTGGACTTTTGGAATTTTGAATATATATACTGTTTATATATATTGCCCAAACCTGTCACTGTATTTATGACTTTAAAAAGGCATTGTCTTGTAGACCAATGAATTTTTAAGGGACTATATATTTTCTTTATTTCATGAAGGGGTGGAGGACAAGAAAGAGATTTTAGAGCAGGGAAAGTAGAGCAGCTCCAGTCGTTTAGATCAGCAGAACATATATGTAATTTACTGCATGTTTGAACATGCCTGTGTGTGTGTGTGTGTCCTGAGGCCTGTAGAGATTTACTCATTTCATCTCTCTGCACCTGGCAGATTCTGCAGGAACTGATCATCTGGCAGAACTCAGACTCTTCTCTCCATTTCATTGTGTTTTACTGCAGGGTCTAAAATATAAACAAATGACACACAGTTATATTTCCATTGTGAAATAAAGAAATAGTTCACCCAAGAATGAACAAAAATGTTTCTTACAAATAGGGCTGCCACTAACAACTATTTTTATTTCGATTAATCTATCGACTAATTTATCGATTAATCTAAACGATTAATTTCCCACAAAAAAATCAACAATTTTACTTAAGAATATTTTATTAAACTATATTTTATTAAATCAAATGAAATCCAAATTTCTATGAAATCTTTTTTTTTTAAAGCAAAAGTAAAGTGCAACATAGAGTGCAAACAAATCACTGAAATCAAAGTTCAGTATTATAGTGTAAGAATGACAACATATCTACGTGTTCTAGTCTTACTAATAATACAATTATAATCAAAAAACACTTTTTAAAGGAGTATTTACCAGAAATGTTATTTACCAGAATTTATTTAGGAGAAAAATATAAATGTGCAGTATTTCTGAAAAAAAAAACTAAAAAAAAAAAAAAACTTTTTTTTTAAATAAAATCAATTAATTGGAGATGCTTTTGATTATTAAAATTTAATGGATTAATTAAAATAAAATCCAGAAAATAATGGAAAACAGGTATTGGTAAAGATAAAACTGTAAAACTCAATTAATTAGACTTTGATTAATAAAATTTAATTTAACCATTAAAACAGAGTATAGAAAAATGAAAATGGAAAAAAAATGAATTTGGAAATAAAACGGATTTCTTAGGGCCCTATAATTAGAATAAATTTTTTTGTGGTGAATTATGCTTAATTATGATTTTTAAATGGGTTTAATATATCATGCAGCCTTGGGAAACAGTCAAATAATCTGTTTTATGGATTCTCTTCCGTGAAATGCGCCACTTCCGGTATTTTGCCGGTTAGTCGACGCAAGCAAAATGAAGTCGAGGATTTTAAAAAAATCGAATAGTCGAATAAAATCGACGAATCGCGACAGCCCTACTTACAAACACAACTTTTCACTTCACTAGACATTAACTGATGCACTGGAGGCATGTGTCAATTACTTGTGGATTATTGTGATGTTTTTATCAGCTGTTTGGACTCTCATTCTGACGGCACCCATTCACTGCAGAGGATCCACTGGTGGGCAAGTGATGTAATGCTAAATATTTCCAGATCTGTTCCCATGAAGAAACAAACTGTGTAAATATTTATCAAATTTAATTTTTGTGAGAACTGTTTCTTTAAACACATTTATTGTTAATGGTTCACTGTGGTAACCACAAAGAGAAGAACCAGAAACACCATTATGATCCTGCAGGAACCAGATCTGAGCACTTCACCACCCTCCTAACTTCCCTCTTTAGTCATAGAGCGCTAGGCAGTATGTGAGTGCGGTATATATCCACTTCCTCATGAAGGAGGCTGTTTGAGCGTCCAGGGCTTTGATAATGTTTTAGGATGTTTCATTTCCATTTTTATTAATTCAGGCAGAGATCAAGGCCACGGCACTGTTTTATGCTACATGTGTTAAATATTCAAATGTACATTTATATATTTAATATATAAATTGGCTGGTTTCTCCTTGCCCTGGTGCACATTTATACTCACTGACCTCAATCTTTATAAAAAACTTTCAAGAATGCGTATTTAAAAATAAGAATATATATAAAAGAATATGAATTAAAGTTTTGAGATGAATATGATGTGGTGATAATATATAATATTTGTTTAGAGGTCAGTGACCAATAAGGATGTCAAAGATGATGAAAATGACATTTTGTTCTCTATTTTATTCTTGTTGGTTTTAAATAGTTGAGTAAAAAGTAATAAAACAATTTTTTAAAAAGTGGTGATTTATTTACTTCCATGTATATTTTATTGAAAAAAGTACATAAAAAAACAAATATATAATTAATTTAATTTGTTAGGTTTTTTTTATGATTAAAGTGGTAATCATGATTATTTTGCTCAAAAAAAAAAAAAAAAAGAAATGATACACTTTCAAATAAGAAAAGTATTCCCACCTCAAAAAGAATGATGAAGGAATGATTAGACTGAGAGAGGTTTTAAACTTCACAGCTCAAATAAAGAACATGTTTTTAGTGACTGTTTAATGTAAGCATGCTAACAACAATAGAAGCTTTATATTTCTGCTTTTAAACCTTTGTTTTCAGAGAAAGAGAAGCAGGTGAAGTGTGGATCTGATGGAGAGGCGGCCAGCAGCTCTCAGTCTGAGAGTTCAGCCAGTCTGGGCAGCACGAAAGGAGGAGGTGAACACACGTTTTTATGCTTTGTCGGGACTTTCTGTAGACATAATGATTTTTATATGTACAATATGTTTGATCCTAAACCTAACCATCACAGAAGACTTTCTGCACTTTTACATTTTCAGGGGAAAAAAATTATGATTTATTAGCTGCTTTCCTCATGGAGGCCTAAAATGTTTCAAAAAATTTCAGCTATCACAATCCTTGTGTGGACATTTGGTTTCCTCAAAGTAGGTTTTACCTGGACCACACACACACACACACACACACACACACAACCAACACCCCACTCCACACAAGTGTATATTAAATATCAAACATGTTCTTATTGGATGTGGTTGTGTTCTGTCACACAGTATTTTTGGTTTCAGTGTGGATAGACAAATTAGTTGCTGGAGACATGATAATACAAGGGTATTCTTGATAGGTTTGGGACAGTAAGATTTATTAGTTTTTTTTAATAGAAAGCAATACTTTTATTCAGCAAGGATGCATTAAATTGATCAAAGTGACAGTGAAGACATTTATAATGTTACAAAAGATTTCGATTTTAAACAAATACTGTTCTTTTGAACATTCTGTTAATCAAAGAATCCTAAAAAAAGTATTATGGCTTTCACAAAAATATGAAGCAGCACAGCTGTTTTCAACATTGATAACAATCATGCATGTTTCTTGAGCAGCAGATCAGAATATCTGAATGATTTCTGACGATAATGTAAAACTGAAGACTGGAGTAATGATGCTGAAAATTCAGCTTTGCATCACAGACATAAATTACATTTTAAAATGCATTCAAATAAAAGTCAGTTATTTTAAATCTTAATAATATATTAAAATTTTTACTGTATTTTTGATGAATAAATGCAGCCTTGGTGCACATAAGAGAGAGAAAAAAAGTCTTGCTGACCCGAACTTTTGACTGATAAGTGTATTGATGAGATACGAAAAACACAAAAAATGATGTCAGTTTTAAGTTTCTTTGTTGCTTCCAGGCACTAATTAAGTTTGCATGTTTTTTTTGGTCACAGCATGCCTAATCTTCTTTGACCCATCCAGCAATGGCAATGATAATACCGTGGTATGCTTCAAAGTACCACTTAAAGACCCCGGTATTATCATCTGATACCATCACTGGACCATGCTACTTTTTTGTAAGTGTGCCACAGGACCCTGGATGGATCTCAGGTTACAGAAATAAACCTGTACGGCAGAGTTTAGTGAACGAATGAACCCTTGAGGACCAGTGATCCGTGTGTCAGACGTGTGTGTGCATGAATAAAGCTCTGTGTGTTCCTAAATCCCATCAGATATCAGAAACATGAGTCTTTTTAGCGGCTGATCTCGGCTCGTGAAATATGAGTCCAGGACAGAGATGGACAGGTTTAACGGATCAGGATCAGAGAAAGATGTGATGGGGCTTTTGTTTGACTGGAGTCTGTGAGCATGTCGCGGCTTGATTCATTCCCTACATGCACGGATCTGTATGATCACTGCAGGTGTGGAGATATGAAAATATTCTGTTTAAAGGTTGATTTATGAACTATAACCATTGTGTCTGTGATCGCCTCATGTTGATCCAGGAGGCCTGAACCTGTAATAAGTGTAATGTAAATGTATAAATAAATCTGACATGTTATATAGTTCATTAGCCTAACTGCTGGTTATGGTTTCCAAGAAACAGAGTAATTTGTCAACCGCTTAAAACGTGGCTCATCCAATCAGAATTGGGAATCAGAACTAGCTGTTTTATGGATTTTCAAATAAAATCGCACCTTTTTTCCACTTAACATCAAAAGACGGAAAATATAATTTGGATAAAGAATATGATGCCTGCTTTTGATCATAGTTGGTGGATGGATTTATTAATTTTCTATGTATTCTTATTTTTGCATTTTTTTTTGCACGATTTGTTTTTACATATTCGTTTAATTTATATATATATATATATATATATATATATTTTAAATTATTTATTCATATTTTTGCATTTATTTATTTACTTGTTTCATTTATTTATTTATTATTATTACTTATTTACTTGATTTCATTTATTTACAAATATTCTAATTTTTGCATTTATTTTTTGCATTATTTATTTTTACTTATTTTCTTACATATTATTATGTATTTAATTACTTTATTATTTATTCATGTATTTGAATTATTTATTTATTTCATTAAATTTGTTTTCAATTATATATTCATACTTATTTTACTTATTTATTTATTTAAATGTGTGTGTGTAGAGGTGGCCACTGGGGATCTACTGGACCTTGAAATTGGAGTAAAAGATCACTCAGGAAAAAACGCCACACTCCCGGCACAGAACCTCAGCACAGAGAACAACAACACTGTCTGGGTAAGAACACACACACACACACACAAATGCTTTAGACATGTACTAAAATATCTAAAGTCAAAGTACTCCACCAGTTGATTTGAATAATTACTTAATACTAATCAGATTTAATTGAAATTATTTTAATGCTGTTTATGTCAGCAATTCTGAGAAAACCACTCACTAGTCTTATTTTTATTTTTATTATTAAAATGACAGCAATGATTATTTAACTCAGTCTACATGCAGTGTTTTAAATTTTTATTTTTAAATGATTTTATATTAAAATGTAACTTTTAAAATAAACTTTTTTAAGAGTTTAAAAGCACATTAGTTACTGCTGAGAACCCTATGGACTCCAAATGAAGATGCTTCTTTTAACTTACTGTAATCTCTGCGGTGTCTTTTGCAGGAACTTGAGGATGGTCTAGATGAGGCTTTCTCAAGGTTAGTAAAATTATATTTGGAGTTATATCTGGTGCTTTTGCACTATAACACCCTGCGCTGTGAACTTTAACAGGTCATACTATAACTTCAGCGCAGATGTGGAGTATAGGGCACGACTATTCCTGACGCTCTATTATGTGACCACAGCGGTATTTGTGATGGACATATTCGGCTCTGAGAATAAACTCTTTGGTTGGTCTTACATAATTCGGACTATTTTTGCACCCCACTCACAGTCTCTGTTTCATAGAAAAGAAAAAGACATCTGGAGTAGACAGAGAAATCTGTGTTACAATTTGTCAAACTGTTTCCTAACAGGCTTTCACTGGTTGATGTCTGAATGCGGTCAAAGTGCTGCTCCTGAAAACTAAAATGCCACATTTAAAGGCTTGAGTTTCAGAAATTGTGGGCGAGAAATTAACAACAGCACTTTGCTGAGGTTATTTGCAAGACGCTGTATCAATCTTTCTTTCTGGACCCTTGACCTTGATGTAAGATAATGCAGAATGAGATACCATATTGCACCCTCTGCCTAATTCAGGGAGGCCTTTCTCAACCTTTCAAGATTGCATCAAATTTGAGAATTAAGAATGATAAACAGTCTACGACTGTAATGCAATCCAATTTGTGATTTATGTTTTTTTATTTACCAATGTTTATTTATAGACACCTAACCTTGCCAGGGATAATGCAGAATGAGATACTATTTTGCACCTTCGGCCCAATTCGGGGAGGCCTTCCTCAGCCGTATTCAAAGCTTCATCAAATTTGACAATTAACAATGAAAGACAGTCTAAGACTGTAAAGAAATCTGAATTTTGAAAATTTTTTACTGTATCAGTCTTTTTTTATGGACCCTTAAACTTTACATATGGCACAGTACAGAATGAGCCATCATACTGCACCCTCTGCCTAATTTGTAACCGTGTTTCTCTGCCGATTTCAAGACTGCATTAGATCTTACAATGTGGTGTGATAAATAACCCAAGGCTCTATCAAATTCCAAAGTTAGAAAATTTTTACTGTATCAATCTTTATTTATGAACCCTTGAACTTGACATCGGGATAATGCAGAATGAGATATTTTATTGCACCCTCTACCCAATTCGGGGAGGCATTTCTCAGCCATCTTCAATGTTGCTTGAAATTTGACAGTTAACAGTGATAAACAGTCTCAGACTGTTAAGAAATCCAAATTTTTACATTTTGTTAATGTATCAATCTTTTTTTATGAACCCTTGAAAGTTTCATATGAGACAGTACAGAATGAGCCGTCATATTGCACCCTCTGCCAAATTTGTAGCGGTGTTTCTCTGCTACTTTCAAGGCTGCATTAGATCTGACAATGAGACTTGATAAATGGTCTAATGCGCTAACAATATCCAAAGTTAAAACATTTTTTTTTACTTTACCAACCTTTTTTATGGACCATTGAATTTTACATATGGCTCAATATAGAATGAGACGTCATATTGCACCTTCTGCCCAGTTCAGGGTGGGCTTTCTCAGCCATGTTTAAGGGTGTATTAAATATGATAATTTCAAATGATATACAGTCTAGGCCTCTAACAACACCCAAAGTTTGAAAAATTTTCAATATACCAATAATATTTTATGGACCTTTGAAATTGACATATGCTTTGATAACACCATAGAATACAAGTCGTTTGTCTCTACACATTGACAATATATTTTAACATTTGAAAATTACACACTTTAGCAGGAAAATTGGACCGCTCATAATATGAGCTCTTTAAGAGAATATTTTTATTGGGATAATACAATATGCACGTTCCTGCTTGCCTATACACCCAAAAATCAAACAATTGTGATGCCAAATGATTAGGTCATGTTTCAAATGACTATTATTTGCATACTATGGCATCGTAATGGCACTAATTAACAGCCGATTTATTCTGCAAACCAAACAACAGCTGTTTAACGATTTGTAATGATGGCCATTATTCATCCAGACACACGGAGTGCCGTTCCCGAGAGATTAGCAGACATGAGATGAGCTGTTTTACAGCAGCGGGGGTTCAGTCCATCTCCGCTTCACGCTGATTATTTGTCTTGTGCAGTAATTAAAAGCGTTGGCTTTTAATCAAACGCAGTACTTCGTTAATCTCCATTTAACATGCTTTCACCTTGAAAGTGTGAGGAGAGACGCTCTAGATCTCTGACATGCAAGAACTTTTCCAATCGAGGATGAATTGGGATTGACTAAATCTCTGATTAAAGACCATTGAAGTGCTTTCCATCACAAACTGAAGCTGTTTAGCATTTGAGATGGTTTATCCTCAAAAACACAATGGATTGAGAGATATTATGGTTATAATTGACCATTTCTGTACATTATTGTGAGACGGATGCACAATAAAATGAAATGGCTGGTTGCACCGAACTTCAAGTTTATCCAGTAGAAGATCTAAATGTCAGATTGACCTCTTGACTCAATATTAAATTTTACATTATTTTCAGAGTATATAGTGCTTATGCTATTATTTAGTTACTATATGTATTCAAAAAAGAAAACATACTGTATCCTGCTGCTCTTACTGTTTTTTTTTTTGCATTGTAAGTGTCATTTACTGTGTGTTCATAGCACAAGTGGTTAAGTTATATGCAGTATTATTTTTGTACTATTTATAGTATTTATTAATATTTTGAATTTGCTTTAATTCTTATATTTTCAATTATTTTTATTTTAGTTTGTTTTGTAATTTTGCACTTTTGTCAGTTTTTAAAAAATAATTTCTATTTGGCTTTCTTTTTTTTTTGTCTTTTTTTATATTTATTTTTTATTTTATTTTTATTTTTTACATTTTTTTTTTAATTTTAATACTTGGCAACACTGCAAAAATTAATTGTCCAAGAAAATACCATACAACTCTTTCTACTTAAAATGTCACATTTAATTTGATGTGTTAGTTGCCATTTCTTTGTAGTTACTTGTCAAATTTACTAGCAATTTCTGAGTGAAAATCTTTCCTATGTAAATCTTGCACCATTTTTTAAATGAACTAAAATGTATTTAATTAGTTGCCAAGCCAACATTTCTCATTTTCATTTAAGTTTAGGTTTTTCATCTAATATTTATTTATTTAATTGTTTTATTTTTTACATTTATTTTTATTTTTTATTTTAGTTACCAATAGCAACACTGGTTGTTTAAGTTTGTCAAAGTTTAATACTTGGGAATTTGTTCAGATCTTTAAAGTGTGTAGTAGTCATGCTTACCTTAGCAAACAACACTAATAATTCTTAATGCCTTTAGTCTTACAAAGAAATGGATCTTACAGTGGTTTAGTCTTTACGGTCAAGAGGTCAACTTTAGTTCGCTGTAACTCTGACCTCATTTCCTCAACATTAGCCCAGGTAACCTTTGACTTCACTGGCTGCTCAATTTTTAAAAAGCTGATAAAAATATCACAATGTGAAAGTTGTATTATTGCAACAGCGAATCAAGACATGCTGACTAAAGATGCAGCTTACACTGAGTCACTGCTGCCGTTTGCTGCTTCTGTTTTCTCATGCTGATATTGTTTACTTCCTTCAGCCGCAGTCTGGATAGTTTTGAGTCCAACACAGGTAAAAATGTCGTTCACCTGAGCTGTAGTGACATGTGCCTGTGCTATAGTCCTCATCCGTCATAATTCACTCCGTCACAACACCATGATCATCTACGACTGTAGTCCAGTTCTCCATCTGTAGCAGCTCACGCATGTTCCTCCTCACGGCTCAAAACCCTGTCCACTTCTCACACCTGTTCAACCATTTTGAGGACTTCATGGCAGGGTTCTTTGCCAAGAGTTGTAGAAACATCACTTGGATTCATCTTCATATATTCCTAGTTTATCTTGTGATCAGTTGTCGGTTTCCCGTCACTGCCTTGCCACAAAGTCTGTTACTATGAACCTTATTCTGGGTAGACGCTGTATTTAAAGGGATAGTTCAACCAAAAATGTAAATTCTGTCATACTCACCCTCAAGTTGTTCCAAACCTATATGAGTTTCTTTCTTATGTTGAGCACAAAAGAAGATATTTTGAAGAATGTTGAAACCAAACACTTAACAGTAGCCATTGACTTCCATACTATAGAAAAAAATATTATGGAAGTCTATGGCTACCATCAACTTACTGTCATTATTGATCACCGTTTCAACACAACTTACACTATCTTTCAAAAGTTTGAGGTTTTGAAAAAAGTTTTTTTTTTTTTTTACAGTAATTAATACTTTTGTTTAGAAAGGATGCATTAAATCGATCAGAAGTAACAGTAAAGACATTTATGATGTTACAAAAGATTTATATGCTGTTATTTTGAACTTTTTATTTGTGAAGGATGCTGCAAAAAATGGCTTACACAAAAATGTGAAGCTGCACAACTGTTTTCAATGTTGATAATAAATGTTTCTTTAGCAGCAAATCAGCATATTAGAATGATTTCTGAAGAATCACGTGACACTGGAGTAATGATGCTGAAAATTCAGCTTTACATCACAGGAATAAATTACCTTGAAAAATGTATTCAACTAGAAAACAGCCTAAATTGTAATAATATTTCTAAATATGACTGTTTTTACTGTACTTTTGATCAAATAAATGCAGCTTTTTTTTCAGAAACATATGGCGTCTACCGTGACTAAAGTGCATTGAGGCTGTGTGGCAGTGTTACCATAGATCTTCCCAGAGATGTTCCTGGTTTTTGTTATTTTCCACAGCACACTTTTCATTCCAGCACCTCAGAGGTTTGATTTCACATCATGTGACATTCAACCACAGAGCTGTGTCTCTATATTTAGGGTAAAGAGTACTACCCTAGAACACTACTCACTGGTTCATGCATATTTTGTGCAGCTTATAGTCTTCTGTGTTGGAATGGGAATCATGGGGAATGTAACAATTCCAATTCCACTGTATGATTCAGTTAACGTTTCTCTTTGAGAGGACATTGAGAGGAAGCTGCTGTTCTAAAATAATAATTATTGTATAAATACTGAAGAACTAACAAAACTCTGTTTTGAATGTGTGAATCTTTAACCACAAGTTGTCAGCATTAGACTAATTTAAACTGATGACTCAAAACATCAATGAGGTTTGATTCTTTTTGAAAGATTCATTAAAAAGAATCCGACTGATCACTCTGTATGTGCAATGCAGAAAGACATACTGTCTTCTTTGTTTTCTTTGTATTATTTCACAGTGTCCAGCCTTTATTTCTCATCATATTAAATTGAATAATAATTAAAATAACAAAAATAACCTCTTTGTGATTCCCAGTCCTACATATGAAGCATTTATGCACACACCATTTGTATGTTCTTTTGCTATTATGCATAATGCTATTATACTATTTAATAATGTTCTGAATTATTAATTGAGCTATTAATTTTATATTTTCTCATTTATTTAATTAAATTGTTGTATATATATATATATATATATATTTACATTTAACATTTACCATAAATATATAAAATATTAAAAAGTTAATTCTTATAGTTTGTTGTATTAACAGCATGTTGTCACTTATTCATATTTATTTTATTATTATTATTATATTTACATTTTC